CGGAGGTTGCGGTGAGCAACCTCCGCCTCCTGGGTTCAGGCAATTCTCCTGCCTCAGCCTCCTGAGTAGCTGGGATTACAGGCACGCACCACCATGCCCAGGTATTTTTTGTAGTTTTAGTAGAGACGGGGTTTCACCGTGTTGACCAGGATGGTCTCGATCTCTTGACCTCGTGATCCACCCGCCTCGGCCTCCCAAAGTGCTGGGATTACAGGCTTGAGCCACCGCGCCCGGCAAGTTTCTTAACCTAAGTTCCCGTTTCCTTATTTGTAAAGTGAGATTAGTAAAACAGGGTTATAGAAGAGCAGCGATATTAAGTGCCTATACAGTGCCTGACACATCGTAAGAAATAAATAAGTACTAGATGCTGTCATCATTACCATCTCCATCACCATTGTCATCATGACACTTCATTGTAGTTGCTTATTGAATATGCTTCTTCCTCGATGAAGCAGGGACCACATTTTCTCTGTTCACCTTTCTCCCCCTGCTGCCTAACCATTTCTGACACAAAATAGGAGTTTAGTAACTTGATTGTTGAATGCTTGAGACAAATCCTGGTGGCCAAACGACAGCAATGGCTTTGTGGGTTGTACAATGCCTGCTCCTTCATGCACGTAGTGGTCATCTTTTGTGCCCCCTGAAGCAATGAGATTTGGCCTAGTTCCTTCAAGAGTGAGCCTAGCAGAATAGATCCTAAGTGGAACAGGGGAGATCACTTAGAGCTTGCAGCATCTCAGAGCTACAAGGGACTTCCTCAGCCTCACAGCCTACCTCCCTCATTTCACAAAGTACATGCTGAGACACATCCGTGGCTCAGCCAGGCTACAAATGACACAACTGGAGGACTGTAGACCTGAGAAGAGGGATTTACAAGACAATTGAGTCAGAGCAATGTAGCTACATTATAGTTTAATTTTTTAAGTCTATCACCATTTTATCCATGGAATTTGTTTTTTAAGGATAAGTAGCTAAGTCCTTATAAATAATAAATGCAAAATAATAATAATTAGTTTGGCTAGGAGCAGTGGCTCACATCTGCAATCCCCACACTTTGGGAGGCCAAGGCAGGAGGACTGCTTGAGGCCAGGAGTTCAAGACTAGCGTAGGTAAAATGGTGAGACCCTGTCTGTACAAAAATTTAAAAAATTAGCATGGTGTGGTGGCATGTGCCTGTAGTCCCAGCTACTCAAGAGGCTGAGGCAGGAGGATCACTTGAGCCCAGGAGTTGGATGCTGAAGTGAGCTATGATAGCCACTGCACTCCAACCTAGGTGACAGCATGACATCCTGTCTCAAAAAATAAATAGGCCGAGCGCAGTGGCTCACATCTGTGATCCCAGCACTCTTGGAAGCCAAGGCGGGTGGAGCGCCTGAGGTCAGGTGTTCAAGACCAGCCTGACTAACATGGGGAAACCCCATCTTTACTAAAAATACAAGAAAATTAGCTGGACGTGGTAGGGTACACTTGTAATCCCAGCTACTTGGAAGGCTGAGACAGGAGAGTCACTTGAACCCAGGAGGCAGAGGTTGTAGTGAGCCGAGATTGTGCTATTGCATTCCAGCCTGGGCAACAAGAGCAAAACTCTGTCTCAAAAATAAAATTAAATAAATAAATATTAGCCAGAGGTGATGTTACTTCTAAAGAAGGAAAATGTGATATTCACTACAAATGTGAAGAATGTCTACCACCTAGCTAGCATTTCATTAAGTACACTGCAATTCTTATTACCTGCTTTTCTGAATTTTATCATAAATTATATTTTGAATGAATAATAACCTGTTACTGTATTGGCAAAAAAAGTCAAAAATATGAGATTTTTTTTAAGATGTAAGCCATTTTAATACTCTAGTTACTCTAATTCTAAGGATCGCAGTTCCACAGAGGCCACTACTCTTTTTTAGAAGAGTTTTATTTATAGCTCCCTGGCAATGTAAGACGCAAGGAATCCAGCGTGGTTTTTACATCCATTGCATTTACCCAAACACACCATCAGAGGGCAGTATACACTTGGTTAACTTAAAAACTGCCTATCTGGTGGCCTTATCAAAATAGTTGTCCAAATTAGTCTAAGACATTCCTAAATTACCACTCAGATAGGCAGGAAAGGTGTTGGAAAAGACAAAAGGAGCAAAGATTTTGAAAAGACAAAGGAATGCATCCCTTAAGACTCTGAGTTTCTACAAAAGGGAATCTGGAGCTAATCATGCTCAAAATGGGAAAACAGAGTTAAAAAACAAAGGGATTTCCTAATCATTTGTTACATTTGAAAGACTTTCATTGAATATGATCGTCTGAACACCAGCTACCAAACAAAAATCAGATCTCCTCATTCCTGTTAATATGCACTACTTAATAAGATGGCAACAAAGACCACCATGTAAAAGGGTCCCTTCAGTAATGTTTTCTTGAGTGAATGAAAATTGAGCCTGCCTTATACTGTATTCTACTTTGCATCACAAACAGTTTTAGTGTATTTCTAGAAAAGCACCAGCAGTTTCTTTGAATGTTAAATTCTGGAGTTATATAGGCAGACTTTTTTGCAACAGAGTATATTGGCTTTAAAACAGATGATACTTGGCCGGGCCTGGTGGCTCATGCCTGTAATCCTGGCACTTTGGGAGGCCGAGACAGGTGCATCACTTGAGATCAGGAGTTAAAACAGCCTGGCCAATATGGTGAAACCCCGTCTCTGCTAAAAATACAAAAATTGGTTGGGTGTGGTGGTGCACACCTGTAATCCCAGCTACTCAGGAGGCTGAGGCAGGAGAATTGCTCAAATCTGGGAGGCGGAGTTTGCAGTAAGCCAAGATCACGCCACTGCACTTGAGCCTGGGTGACAGAGTGAGACTCCATCTCAAAAAAGAAAAAAAACAGGTGATACTTAAATACAAGACTTTTTTTTTTTCTTTTCTTTTTTCCCCCCACTGCATTCCTAGAGGATAAATTCAAGACTTTAAATGTAAAAATCAGTAGAGCCTCGTTAAGGCTGTAAATCCAGAATTTGTGATAATTTGGATTAAATATTACTTACATGACATATAAGGAGGCCGGGTGTGGTGGCTCATGCCTGTAATCCCAGCACTTTGGGAGGCTGAGGTGGGTGGATCACCTGAGGTCAGGAGTTCAGGGCCAGCCTGACCAAAATGGTGAAACCCCACCTAATTTTGTAAAAATACAAAATTAGCCGGGCATGGTATCTCATACCTGTAATCCCAGCTCCTCCGGAGGCTGAGACAGGAGAATTGTTTGAACCCAGGAGGTGGAGGTTGCAGCAACCCGAGTTCACGCCATTGCACTCCAGCCTGGGCAACAAGAGCGAAACTCTGTCTCAAACAAACACTTATAAGGAAAGGGGTTTGCTAAGCAAACACATAGTCTAATCAGTTTTCAAGAGGAAATGCTTCAATTAAGAATAATTTTTAAGTTTAATTCTATTTTTAACTTGTTTACAAAAATCTTTTTGGAGAAAGCTGATGTATGCATTTCTAACCAGCTTCTTGCATGATTCTAACATAGTCACCTGGTACCAGTAAACAAAGTGCTCTCTGCTTTTTTAGAACACCAGGCACTACTTTCTTGGAGTAGATGATTAACCCAGCTAAAGCTTGATTTTTACTAGCTAACACTTTGTTAACCTAGTGTGTTATACTGTGTGACTTTAAAATGGTAAAAGCTAAATAAAGCGTAGTTGTCATTCAGGTTAGCTTTCTAGTCCAAGTCACTAACAATCTACTATGTAATAGACATTCTAAGATTTCAGCCAACAGTTCTATTTTCAATATATAAAATCAATTTCAGAAAACTGTAAGGATGATTTCCTTGTTCAGTTAAGATTCTGCTAATCATGGAAAAGATCATACTGCACACTTTCTCAAGGTACCTATGGGATTGACAATATGTCCACGTGTCCTGACAGTAAAGTCAGTTATCTGAATACATTCCATTTTGGAATAGCAGATCTAAGTGCTAAGCAAATAATTACCACCATGTTCAAGTTTAGAACTGGAAGATCTTTCATTATATTAATAGACCCTTTATTTTTAGACATAACAAAATACCAAAGACAAATGGCCACATATGTCCTAATGTACTTGAGAAATCTTGCTACGAATGCTGTCACTAATTTTTAATACTTTAAAAAAAGAAAAGCCTGTCTTTTCTATTGGCATCATTCAATAAGAAAAAAAAAAGCTGAATCAGAATGTTTCTGTGTGAATGCACATTCCTCACTAAATCTCTCAGGCAGCTGCTTTAGTCACTGTTACTAACACCTTGCTCTGTCATCTCTTTGTATACATGTCTAATTTATCAGTTTCTTGTAGATTGTCAGCAGCCTGCTGCCTCCGTACCGCCACAGTGCTCACAACTAGCCGGGAGGCAAGACTGCCCGACTGTCAGGTAAATTCAGATGTCCTTTCCCTTCCCACCCAGCTGCATGCCCCATCCATAGACCCCAGCTCCCTTTTCTAACACCTGAACTGCCTAAGCATCATTATATTTTGCTATATTTTATTTCAAATGTGGGCTACATAGACACACACCGGATACCTGCAGTCCCTGTGTTCCCAGTGGGAATTCAAGAGAGCTGGGCTTTATTTTGCTGGCCACCAGCTGGTAGACTACAGGCTACCTTCAGCCCCTTTGTCTGCCTAAATACTTGGATTAGTCCACTGTTTCAGTCCTTCCCAAAAAACAAAAGCTGGAATTGTTCTGATATTTGACCTACCTTTTGTTTTCTTTCATCTTTAAAATATATTTCTTTTCCTAGGAAATCCAAGGGACACTGAAATACTAATTGACCTGATTTGATTCCTATACATTATATGTATTAAAACATCACTGTGTACTCCATGAGTATGTACAATTATTATTTGTGAACTTAAAAAAATAAAATCCCTGGCCAGGCATGGTGGCCCACACCTGTAACCTCAGCACTTTAGGAGGCCAAGGCGGGTGGATCACTAGGTCAGGAGTTTGAGACCAGCCTGGCCAACATAGTGAAACCCTGTCTCTACTAAAAATACAGAAAATTAGCTGGGCATGGTGGCGCGTGCCTGTAATCCCAGCTACTCAGGAGGCTGAGGCAGGAGAATTGCCTGAACCCAGGAGGCGGAGGTTGTGGTGTGCCGAGATCGCGCCATTGCACTCCAGCCTGGGTAACAAGAGTGAAACTCCGTCTCAAAAAAAAAATAAAATAAAATAAATAAAAAATGTTTAAATAGGCCAGGCATGATGGCTCACACCTGTAATCCCAGCACTTTCGGAGGCTGAGGCAGATGGATTACCTGAGGTCAGGAGTTTAAGACCAGCCTGGACAACATGGTGAAACCCCATCTCTACTAAAAATACAAAAATTAGCTTGGTATGGTGGCGCATGCGTGTAATCCCAGCTACTGGGGAGGCTGAGGCAGGAGAATCGCTTGAACCCAGGAGGCGGAGGTTGCAGTGAGCCAAGATTGCACCACTGCACTCTAGCCTAGGTAACAGAGAGATGCATCTAAAAACAATTTTTAAAAATTAAAAATATATATATCTCAGGCAAACAGGAAAAATATAAAGAATTAGATATAAAGGCTGGGTGCAGTGGCTCATGTCTGTAATCTTAACACTTTGGGAGGCTGAGGCAGGAGGATTGCTTGAGCCCGTGAGTTTGACGTTACAGTGAGTAAAATCACATCACTGCACTCCAGCCCGGGTGACAGAGCAAGACCCTGTCTCTAGATAGATAGATACATAGACAGACAGAGAGACAGACAGATAGATAGATAGGAACACTTTTATAAGTGTTTCTGTTCTCTGTCCACTCAGTAGCCTTGGTAAGACTAATTTGAAAGGTGGAGAAAAACATTGTAGTCAGCATTCAAAAGAGAGTATTTGCTCTGACAGTGACCTTTATGTGAGATTGCTTGAAGAATTGTAAAAGCAGGTTTGCACAGTCCCTGAACACTGAACCGGAGAGTTTGCTAACAATTCCGATTCCAAAGGAAAGCTTTCTGAATCAGTCATGAATTGCCCTCCATCCTGGTGAACCTCCACACAGCACATCAGCATTCCATCAGGACCTTGCCTTCATCCTGGAATGCCTCATCTCCAGTCACCTGGCCTCTGATGGTCCCAGACTTTTCTAGTCTGATTGTGGTTTTCATCACCTGCCCAGTATTCTCTCCTACGAGGGGAGGGCTGCTTTTGAGCAGGGGCAGGTCCAAACACTTTCCACAGGTGTCTGGGGAGTAGCTGTCAGAAGCAGGCTACACGTAGTCAGGGGTCAGAGCCAGGGGAGCTGGAGTGCCACAAGTGTGGAAGCCCAGTGGCAGCTGAAGCCCAAGTGTCACGTGGTCTCAGAGCCAGTTGTGCAGCTAGCTGTATCAGTTGACCATTGAGTTAGCCCAGAAAGGTACATTATTGGCTGGGTGTGGTGGCTTATGCCTGTGATCCCAGCACTTTGGGAGGCTAAGGCAGGAGGATGGCTTGAACCCAGAAGTTCGAGACCAGCTTGGGCAACACAGGGAGACCACCCTCCAACCTCTACAAAAAAAAATTTTTTTTTTAATTAGCCTGGTGTAGTGGTACATGCCTGTAGTCCCAGCTATTCGGGAAGCTAAGGTGGGAGGATCACTTGAGCCCAGGAGGTGAAGGCTGCAGCAAGCTGTGATTGCAAAATAAAAAATTAAGTAAATACATAGAAAAATACATTATCAAATAGATTGCTAGCCAGCAGCTTCCAATTAGTCTTTTTTTTTTTTTTTTTTTTTTTGAGACGGAGTCTTGCTCTGTCACCCAGGCTAGAATGCAGTGGCGCGATCTCTGCTCACTGCAACCTCTGCCTCCTGGGTTCAAGCAATTCCCCTGCCTCAGCCTCCCAAGTAGCTGGAACTACAGGCGCGCGCCACCACACCCAGCTAATTTTTGTATTTTTAATAGAGATGGAGTTTCACCATGCTGGCCAGGCTGGTCTTGAAATCCAGACCTCGTGATTCACCTGCCTCAGCCTCCCAAAGTGCTGGGATTACAGGTGTGAGCCACTGCTCCCAGCCTCCAATTAATGTCTTTAGGTTGATTGTTCCTACCACCTTCAGCAACAGGGCTTTAAGAAAGGTTCTTCAGTAATATACTAAATGCCATTTTACAACAGCACTAATTTCTGTTAGAAATCATGATAATATAATAATTATAGATTTATCTCAGTTATGTAACAAGTGAATATAAATATTCACACTCATCTCAGTGGGATTCTGCATGTGTAGTCGTTAAGAACATGGGCTCGCCAGGCGTGGTGGCTCATGCCTGTAATTCCAGCACTTTGGGAGGCCAAGGTGGGTGTATCACCCGAGGTCAGGAGTTCAAGACCAGCCTGGACAACACGGTGAAACGCCGTCTCTACTAAAAATACAAAATTAGCCCAGCATGGTGGCACATGCCTGTAGTCCCAGCTATTTGGAAGGCTGAGGCAGGAGAATCGCTTGAACCTGGGAAGCAGAAGTTGCAGGGAGCCAAGATCACACCACTGCACTCCAGCAAGAATAAAACTTCATCTCAAGATATAAAAATTTAAAAAATAAAATAAAAAAGAACATGGGCTCTTCTTCACCTATAGTCCAGTCTCCACCAGGCAACTCAGCCCTTACCCAGGGCCTGGGTCAGTGCTGGGCACATGACCACTGTGCACTAAATATCGATTATACCTGAATGAGTGAATGAGCTCTGGAATCAGATTGCTTGGGTTGGAACCCACCTCTAATACCCACTAATTGTTTAATTTTGGAAAATTTATTTTGCTGACTGAGATTTCGTTTCTTCACTTGTAAAGTTCAGATTACAATAGCTATTAGCGGAATTCAGCAAGGCACACACCTGGCTTGGAGTGTCTGCTCAGTATCTGTTATCAATACCTCTTTTAGTATCTTACCATTCCTCAAGACAAAGATGTGCAGTCTTTTAACCTCTCTAATTTGCTTGAAGAAAGTGTGGAGAGGGCTACTGTTTTGTTGGCTTATTTGTTTCAGAGACTGGGTCTGGCTATGTTGCCCAAACTGGACTTGAACCCTGGGCTCAAGCAATCCTCCTACCTCAGAAGACTACTGATTTACGTGTTTTCATTAAGTAGAAAATGGAAAGGTTGGCAGGAAATTTTGTTTAACTTTTTTTTCACCTTGCTTCTTTTTGGAGAACCAGTTTGACTAAACAGTTAGGTAGCCTAGTTCCATCTGTTCTGAGATTAATGAATTTAGGTTGCTTACTACCACCACAGGGATGATTCACTTTAAAGAAAAGCAGTTTAATGAATTACAAACGTATCCAGCTTCTCAAATGTTTGCAGCTTCTATCCACATGAATACAGCCTGGTCTAGAGCCCAATTCTACTGTTCCCCACATCGTGGTCTACATAAAGAAATGATTAAATGCAGATAGATCTGAAACAACTCTCCTTTTCGAAGTTGCCAGGATGATGACTGACTCTCCCCACTCAGACCATTGCCAAATGGGTCAACGTTAATACCTTCATTGCCCCTTTTACTCCTTCCTGCCAGAAAAGTTAACACATAGCTAACATTTGAATTCTTAGTATGAACCAGACAAGGGTACAATTTTTTACACGTATTAATCATTACAACCTCCCATAAGGTAAGCACAGTTTTATACCCATTTTTGGTTGTTTTTGTTTCTTTGGTTTAGCTTTTTTGGGTTTTTGTTTGTTTGTTTTTTGTTGTTGTTTCAGAGAGGGTCTCCCTCTGTCACTTAGGCTGGAGCGCAGTGGCATTATCTTGGCTCACTGCAGCCTCCACCTGCTGGGTTCAAGCCATTCTCCTGCCTCAGCCACCCAAGCAGCTGGGATTACAGGTGTGTGCCACCACACCTAGCTAATGTTTGTGTTTTTAGTAGACAGGGTTTCACCATGTTTGCCAGGCTGCTCTTGATCTAATGACCTCCAGTGATTGGACTACCTCAGCCTCCGAAAGTGCTGGGGTTATAGGCTTGAGCCATCGCACCTGGCCTTACGCCCATTTTTATATGACAAAATCAAAGTTTAGGAAAGTAAGATGACTTGTTCAAGGTCACATATCCTGAACACAACTGAGCCCATGACTCCTACGTACTACCATAGCTGGCTGCACTGCAGAGGAGAGATCTATTTCAGTTACACTGCGAGGAGAAAAGTGAGAGCATGTAAATCACCCACCATGTCTCTTTTCCCCTCAAACTGAAAAGGAATGTTTAATGAAAAATAGAAGATGTGTTAAGAATGTTAAGTGACTTCAAATCAGGTGTCTGTTTCTCATTTTGAAAAATTTTGAGCTCTGGACACGGTGGCTCATGCCTGTAATTCCCAGCACTTTGGAAGGCCAAGGTGGGCAGATCACCTGAAGTCAGGAGTTTGAGACCAGACTGGCCAATAAGGT